AATTAGTTATTCTTTTATTAACTTGGTAGTGCTGTTAGCTTATCTATAATAATTTATTATCTTAACTGATCACAGTATATCTTGTTTTCTGATAATTATCTATACTGAATAATATATAGCTTCTTATTATCTAATATTTATATTACAGATTCTGTTTAAACTTTGTACTAAATAGTAATAATATTATAGACTTCTCTGTCTTGATCTTGATCTATAACTCTTAACTGTTTCTAAAATTGTTACTATTTCTGACTATAGTTTTTTAACTAGTGATCTGCTTTGCCGCAGCTAAAGTATAAATAGTCTCTTTTATATTATTTAAGTTTCTTCTTAAATACTTTATTCTATTAAGTCTGATACTGTGCTATATCTAGCTTCATGGGTTTTAATCTGTAAAGATCTTTATATCTTAAGCTTCTAGATTATACTAATCTTCTATTATTAACTTGATAATCTGATTAGCTATTCTATCAAGATATAGATCTATTAGTTTATCAGCTCTCTCTTTATTTCATATTATATTTATATAACTTATTATCAATCTTAATTACTGTTTCAATTATTTTTAACAATGTGTTCAGTTATTCTTACCAGATGAGTTTCTCTTAGATCTCTATCTTGAGTTCTTTTTTAAATTATATAATATAGATATTATTATTCTAATTTAAGTAATTAATGACTTGCAAAAACTCTGAAACATACTTAAATATTAATCTAGTCTACTTGAGTTATTATAATTTTTATTCAGTATTTTATACTATATCAATATCTCTAAATATTTATTTAAGACACTGCTTAAATCTAGTATAACTAGTAAAGATTAACTTTATATTATTATCCTGATTATTTACCAACTTTTCTTGATATTTATAGATATATAGTTTAAATTAATTAAATACTGTTTTAATCAGATAGATAAACATGAAAAAAATCTTGTTAATCTTATTTCTAAGCTTTTCTCTATTCATGCTGAGATACAAGTCTAACTGGGTCAAGAAAGCCTTAAGCTTTGCTTAATTACTGTTAAATAGCTCTAGTAGTTAGATCTTAATAGATTTAATTATTAAACAATCTTTAAGTAACTGGTTCTGTTATTCTAAGACAGTGATGCTTTCTTGTAACTAATCAATTATATTTATTAGTTCTTATATTATCAGGCCCTGCTGCTGTGGGGCACGCGATAAGTTTAAAGTAGTTAATATAATAAACAATTATTACTAGATAATACTCATACTAACTAGTACTTAATATATCAAATCCTAGGATTGCTTCTCCCTGTTTCTATTAGCTTAGCTTTGCCGATATACATACCTTCAAACTGAATCAAGGTAGAGTCAGATTAATAACTATCTAAAGATGACTGATTCTGAATAAAAAAAGAGAAATAAGGCTAGATAATACCATGCAGCTATCTATAAGTAAGTATAGACAAGTATTATTATTAAGCTTTCTAAATATATGGTTACTTAAAGATAATTATATTAAGCATAAAGAACAGAACTAGCTAAATATATAAAAGAGTATTCTTATATCCTATCCTTTATATACCATATCATATACTATTCAGGATAGATCAAGGATTGATCTAATCATGTTCCTGGATTTCAGTATACCTTCCATATATTCTCAATGATAAATCTGATAGTAGATAATTATATGACACAACGCCGCTCCGGACATTACTCAGACCGGGATTCTACTCGATAAGAGTTGCTGGTTGTCCGAGTCCTGCCTTGTCGTCGCTTTTCTGCCTAACGAGTCCGCTCCGCTAGTAACCTGGCTAGCAGGGGTCTGTAACAATATTAAGATAAAACAACCAAGCCAGAAGCTTGACTATCATAAGCTAGGACTATTTATTATTGAAGATAAGAAGAAGCCAGTTAATTACAAGTTGAGACTACTGAAATCAATAAGCAAAATTTATTCAGTATTTTATATCTTATTATTAGAACCCGTACCAAAGAACGCTAGAATTGCAGAAAATGTGGAAATTGATGATAATACTAAATAAAAATATAAAGTTAGAAAGATTCTAGACTATAAAAAGATTAGCAGCAAGTTATATTACTTAATAAAATAAAAAGAATATGATATCTCGGAAAACATGTGGAAACTTATCAAGAATTTGACAGGCTGCTACCGGCTTATGGAGCAGTATTATTAATAAACAAGTCAAAATTCGCCCAGAAAGAAGGAGAGCCAACTAGTTGGGATAAACTAAGATCAAGCCCGGACATAGCAGCTAGTTTGATACTACTACTTATGGCAGTACTAGTCTTAATCTCAGATATTGCAGTTTTTTAATCATGTAGTCTTTCTTATGCTTTATATTCTCTTTACTCCTGCTTCTTAAGCTTCTTTAGCTTCTCAAATTTCTTTATATCACGAGCTATAAAATTACCAGCTTGTTTTTATAATAATTGTTTTTACTTCTATAACTGAAGAAGTTTTGCCAGGATAACTTCCTCCTTTTCTTTAATAGAATTTTAAGCCTTGACCAAACACTTCTACTCAGTGTCAGAGAAGGAAGGATCAGACATTTCATAATAAATACTGTTTATTTTAATATATTTATTATAGTAATCAGAATTCTTAGACTTGATATACACTTTGCGCAGATAAATGCAGCGCTTATAAGGAAAAACCATACAGAAATCTTTGTCTTTGATCTGCTGGTAAAGACTCTTCTTATAAATAAAAGAGCTGGATGACATGATTAATGACCCAGATAAGAAATTTTGGGAGCAATACTGAATACTTATCTCAAAGAGGGGACACCACCGATTTATGTTCCTTGGGGACAAGAAATCTTGAAGAAGGGGGAGTGGTGTTACGGACCCCTGCTAGCCGAATAACTAGTAAGACGGACTTATCAGGCAGAAGGCCATGTCTGGACAAACAGGAACTCTTATCAAGTAAAATCCTGATCTGAGTAACCAATACCCGGAATGATTACACAGCACGTGACCATGACATGTCACTGACATGCTATAATATGTCGGCACTATGACAGGATATGGTAGCAATATAAGATAATATATCAGTAATATAATATATCATGGCAATACCATACAGAGGATAGAATATATAAGAACACTTTTTCATATACTTAGCTAGTTTTGTTCTTTATATTTAATATAATCATCTTTAAGTAACTATATATTTAGAAAGCTTAATAATAATATTTATCTATACTTACTTATAGATAGCTGTATAGTATTATCTAGCCTTACTTCTCTTCTCTTATTCAGAATCAGTCATCTTTAGATAGTTATTAGCCTGACACTACCTCGATTCAGTTCAAAGGTACGTATACCAGTGAAGCTAAGCTAACAGGAACAGGGAGAAGCGATCCTAGGGTTTGACAGAAGAATCAGATATTTTATAATAAATACTGTTTATTTTAATATACTCATTACAATGATCAGAACTCTTGGATTTGATATATATCTTATATAAATAAATACAATGCTTGCAAGAAAAAACCATACAGAAACCTTTATTTTTAATCTGCCAGAAAAGACTCTTCTTATAAACAAAAGAACTGGACAATATGGTTAACAATCTAGACAAAAAATTTAGAAATGACACTGAACACTCACCTTAAAGGGGGGTACCGCAGATTTATGTTCCTTGAAAACAAGAAACCTTGAAGAGGGGAGAGTAGTGTTATAGACCCCTGCTAGTTGAACGACTAGTAAGACGGATTCATCAGGCAGAAAGCACTGATAAGAGCAGCGCACGGGTGAGACCGAACTATTATTGAGAATTACTACTATGATATCCGGAACAGCTGCATATCATATAATTATAATAAACATGTTATTAACAAGCTATAACATGTCGGTGTTATGATAAGACATGACAGTGATATGAGATAACATATCAGTAGTATAATATATTATAGTAATAATATATAAAGGATAGAATATATAAGAACACTTTTTTATATATTTAACTAGTTCTGTTCTTCATGCTTAATATAATTGTCTTTAAGTAACCATATGTTTAGAAGTTTAATGATAATACTTGTCTGTACTTACTTACAGATAGCTGCACGGCACTATCTGGCCTTACTTCTCTTCTCTTGTTCATGATTAGTTGCTCTTAGATAGTCATTAGTCTGACACTGCCTTGATTCAGTTTGAAGATACGTATACCAGTGAAGCTAAGCTAACAGGAACAGGGAGAAGCGATCCTAGGGTTTGACAAATAGCTTTACAGATACTAGTCTAGTTTTATTTAATCTAGATAGGGTACTCAGTCAGCTAAATATTTAGCTAAAGATCTTTAGATTATTAGACAGTTGATTAATCAATACAGCTCCAAAAACGCTTTATATAACTAGACAGCTTGAAAAGCAGATATCTACTATAAAGCAGCTGCTTAGAATATGTATGCAGAGTTCTTTATCTTTATTAAAAATATAATTTAATAAGCTTATTAAAGATTATAGATTATATCTTAATAAGCTTATTCTTATACGTGAAGAAATCCACAAATTATGTATTTTTAATATAAAGAAGCTTTAAAAAAGAAAGCACTCTACTAGACATCAAGAAATTATAGAGAGATTAGTTATTTATAATAACTTAAAGCGATTTCAGCACAAGAATCAGGTTGATAAAGCTTAAAATATGTTTTCTCTAGATTCTGTATTTTCTATAGATAGACTATATATATGAGCGCCCCCATATTACAGTAATTATCATATTCTAGAATATAGATGATTATAATATCCTAATCAAGTTTCTAATTAATTTTTAGATAGAAATATAATTATTTTATTGATAAAGCCTCTAGTATTTGGCCCATGGGCAGGAATGAAGCGGAGGTGCGCCGCTCGCTTATGAAATACGTTACTCCGTATCATTATTATTATTATCATTAATATGCTAGATATTCCGTACTAGGTACAGTACCCACTCACCGCCTGCCCTGCTGATCAGCCATCATATGGTCTCTCCTTCATCTTTTATCTCTCACTCTTTTCTCCCCAATAATCATCCCCTGCCACTATCCTATCCAGGTCTTTTACTGCCACTACTACTACTTTCTTCTTTTTATTCTTCTTCTCCTGAACTTCTGCACCGAAATCCTACCATGTCTTACCCCCGCGTGATCACGGCTTCTTTCCTTGCCTGACCGGCATGGCAGCACATCTGCTCCGGGGAGAATGGCCCTCAAGCATCGTGACTACGCCCTTCTGGGCTTTGGTGGGTTTATCGCTTGGGGTCTGGCCGTAAAATGGCTCCCAGTGCTAAGATACCTTGTCTATGCGCTGGCTCTGGGTATCTTGCTATCCTCGGCCGTCTTCCTCAGCCTCGTGCTGCTCACGGCGCGCTCTCTGAATCACGCAACTTTGACTTCTCCCAAGCCTCTCCCAGTCGCCTTCCTCGCCCGTCGCCATTGGGAAAAGGAGATGCAGGCAGTCCGAACCCGCTCGATCTATCATCCACCGTCCCTGTACCCGCAATCCTTTGTCGTCTCGGAAGGCATTGACGAGCTCCTGACGCTAGCCACCCGGGATTTCATCGCATCGTGGTACCAGCATATCAGCCCCAACCCCGCATTCGTGAACGAGGTGGATCAAGTAATTCGAACGGCAATCGGGAATCTACGCCATAGACTATTAGCAGAGGACCTCATCTCCCTCGTGGTATCCCGTATCTTCCCCGTCATAACGGCCCACCTCAAAGAGTTCGAGGTTGCAGAGCGGTTGGTACGGGGCAGGAACCTCACCCGCAATGTCACCGAGTCGGAGGAGTTGGACCTTGCTATCGCGAGCAAGTATCGCGAGGGGCATTTGCATCCAGCGGCAGTGCTCTCCGTGTCTGACCAAAAGCTTATGGAGCAGGAATACCTCCGCAAGATTGCCGTGGGATTACTGCCGCAGCTATTCCCTGAATCCGTCCTCAACAGCCGCATTGTCTCCGTGTTAATTCGTGAGATTATCGCGTGTTCTGTGCTTTTCCCTCTCGTTTCCGTTCTATCCGACCCGGACACATGGAATCAATTAATGGAGGCTTATGGCCGAACGGCGATTCAAGACCGTAAGACTGTGCGGAAACTCAGGGCGGCCCTGGATGAGCATGCATCGCCCGCTCCCAAGTTCAAAAGGGGCCATCCGTTTCCTCGATTAACCCCCCACGATTCAGAGCGCGCTTTCGAGCGATTTGTCCGAGCCATCCGGCGCTGTAACAATATTTCGGACGCCAGGCGGTTCAGAGCCCTTGTGGCTAGCCAATTGAAACGAGAGACAATGGTAGAAGGGCAAGACCAGGTCTACCTTCGACGACTGGAAACAGGCAAGAGGGTCTTGGATCAGAAAGTAGCTAAGCTTTCCGCACCGGGAGGCACTCAGATGACGCACGCCTCCGCGGCTGTATCCCACTTTCGTCGTAAAAACTCAGTTCCTCAGGAGGCTTCATTGGTGGATGTCATGCACGATGCCTCGGGGCTCTCCTATTTCATGGAATTCATGGACCGGCAGCAGCTCATGTCCCTGGTGCAGTTCTGGATTGTGGTCGATGGGTTTCGTAATCCCCTGGAGGATGATTTTGGAGATGAGAGTTCTCCAAGCTCCACGACCTGGACACCGGCCGACCGGAGTGATATGGCGCTGATCAGCGAGACCTATCTTTCGAAGCCTGAACTGAAGGTCACGGATGAGTCGCGTCGAGTAGTTAAAACTTTCCTGAGTGCAGGGAAGCGAGCCAGCTCGGAGCAATATCGCAAGGCCCGGACAGTGATACTGAGCACTCAGTCCGCGATCCTTGAGGAGCTTCAGGAGACCTACTACCCCAGATTCAAGCAATCCGATCTCTACTACAAGTATCTTGCCTCAGATGAAGCTTCCCAAGCCGGCACTCAGTCGCCCCAACGCAGCTCCCCAAGTATCACAGAGGTGCCCGAAAGGCGACCTCTTCCTCCCCTAATGAGTCGTACCTCATCTCAACCAGGAGCCAAGTCCAAGGATTTGCGACGAGCGGCGGTATCTTCGAGTGATGTTCGAAGTATGGGTAAATTGTTTGACGATGATGAATCTTCGAGGCGCTCTTTTGACTCTGAACGGTCCGCACCGCTGTTCGACGATGACTACGACACTGATCCTCTTGCGATGTCCACACAGAGCCTAGGTAGGGACTCACAGAATGGCGAGACTGAAGCGAACCAGAATGAAGTCATCGAAAACATGGAGGCGGCGTTGAACGACATCATTGCCAACGAGCCAAAAAATAGTAGGATTGAAGATTTGAAGAGCGCCGATGTATCTCCAACCGGGCTGCCTGGTAGCGACCAGTACCCCAAGTCTCCGCGCAGCTCGATGGTGCTCACTCGAGCAGAAAGCCGGACAGACGACAGAATCAAACCGAGCATTGCCTCGCTGGGCCTTGTAGACCGGTCTTCACGCCTCGGAGTTTTCGATGATGATCTTTTCCCCGAACAGCAGAAGTACATCGAAGATGAATATGAAGAGCCTGTGGGAACAGACAATGACTCAGCTGACCAGGTCCATGAAGCGGCTCCCGGGGATCTCGGGCTGACAGAGGCTATCGAGGCTCTCACAGCAGACATCGATAAGCTCGGTTCTCAAGAGTCAGTGGTGGACACTCTCACTCGAAAAGCCGAACTCACGAACAACACTGCGGAATTGAGGATCCTGCGCAAGTCCAAGGCGAGCATTCAGCGCGAGATGCACCGCAAAGAGATGCAACGACAGCAGTACATCATCCAAGAGAGTGACAACAGCTTGTACGGCCGGTCGACCGTCCGCATCAAGTCCATTGTCGTTGGAAAAGAGGAGGATGGTCGAGAATTCGCCATGTGTATGTAATCTTACCTTCTTCTTTGCTCCTGCCCGCCTCCCCATTAAAGATCTCCAGATACTCAGTCCACTGACTTCTTTTCTAGACGTGGTCGAGGTGCAGCGAAACGCTGGCGAGCAGATGCCGGCGGCTTCCTGGGCCGTTGCCCGAAGATATAGCGAGTTTCACGAACTCCATCACAAACTGCGCATGAGATACCCATCCGTCCGTCATTTGGAGTTTCCACGCCGGCGTGTAGTCCTCAAGCTCCAGAAAGAGTTCTTACAAAAGCGACGCTTGGCCCTGGAAGCCTATCTGCGAAAGCTACTGTTGCTTCCCGAAGTATGCCGGAGTCGTGACTTAAGAGCCTTCCTTTCCCAACGGGCCATCATTCCTCGTAATGAAGCCCAGAGCTCTACAAACGGAGAGACCAAAGACTTGGTCACTCGAATATATAACTCAGTCGCCGATGGTATGGACGACTTCCTGGGTAACTTCGGCGTATTGGACCAATTATCCACGGCCGGGCAAAACCTCATTTCCGCCGCTACCAACCAGCAAGCCACCGCAGTACCTGACTCGGATTTGGCCACAGAGGACGCAGTCACCGCTGCTGAAGCCGAAGCGGAATTGAATGCATTCGAGGATCGCGAGCTGGAGCCATTCATCAAGCCGATCTGTGACCTGTTTCTGGAGGCCTTCGAGCTGAACAAGGGCAACAACTGGCTGCGCGGGCGCGCCGTCGTCGTCGTCCTGCATCAGCTGCTAGGAGGCACGATTGAGCGCAAGGTACGCGAAGGAGCACGCTCCCTAATCCAGGACGACTCACTGTTGCGGTACTTCTCTCTGGTCAGGGACACCATGTGGCCGGGAGGAGTTCTCCGCCAAAGCAAAATCCGCACCGCGTCGGAGCGACTGAAGAGTCGCACCGAAGCCAGCCTGGTCCTGGCCACGCTGATCCCCGATCTAGCAGGCAATGTAGTTGGACGAGCGAACGCGCAAGCCGCAGCACGGAGGATCTTCGCGACTCTGAACAACCAGCGACTGAATGCGCATCTAGTGTTCACCATGCTCGACGAGATCGTGTTGGTTTTGTTTGGGGGAGGGGACGCGGGACGAACCCGTTGATGACTTATGCTTATATGTATGATATCGATTTTTCCCTTTGTTCCCCTTCGTTGGTCTTCTGCCATTACCCTTGCGCGTTGTATCGATATTAGCGGGCGTTGGGCTCTACCCTAGCATCTTTTCTTTTCATTTAATCTCATTTTGTGTCTTAAACGTTTCGTCAATCTGCCACGGTGCCGATCATCACCTATGCTCACCTTCACCCCCATTTCCCGGCGTTGTTAGTGCACCGAGCTTTTGAGGGGGATGCGGAGGAACATACTGATAATCAATTGCTGATAAGAGTGGGACACCCTTTGTTGATGCCTGACTACCGAATTAGTACATCTACTAGTACGGGACTAGGCGATAGCTCTATATCAGTATCACCAATAAAGCAACTAAGTATTGTTTCTCTGTCTTTATAAAGAGTATGAATGAAGGAATGCTGTTCGAAGATACAAGATCGTTCGATGCCCAGTAAGTCAACTCAGCCAGAGAAGCCCGTGATGGATCCCCGAAACCGAAATGAAAGCAGAGAGTTGAGATTGAAGAACGCCAAAGGCAGACAGACTACAGGAATTATCATCCTTCCGCCTGGCTCCTCGACACTCCAAAACACTGTTCTAGGAGTGCCGAGGTAAAGGTGAAATGCAAAGCATCACGAAGTACGATGGAGGTACCTATTAAAAAGAGGGAATGAGAATAGGCATGAAGACCGACGTAGTTCGAAACAATCATTCCTCACGCCTCGTCTGCCTTCTTCTTCTTGGACTTCTTGCTGGGCTGTTGTGGTGGGCCCTGCTTGGTCTGGTGAACAATGAGACGTGTCCAGCACTCCTCCTTGTCCCACTCGAAACCAGCGAGGTAAGGCTTATCCAATTCATCATCGGCCTAGAGCAGGTGGAGGTCAGCATTGGTTATGAAAACTCGTCACTTCCGACATGATACCTTCTTCTTGAACTGCTTGTAGATTGCGTCCAGCGCATCCTTTATCGTGACGCCCTTCATGTTACGAGCGGTTACTTCCAACCCTAACGGGAAGTGCAGATCAATTTTCTTGACCGGGGGGTTGATCAGGAAAAGCTTGAGCATATCTTTGTCCTCGACGGTCGACGGTGAGGTGTTCAGCTTCCTGTTGTCCAGGTTAGTCTCCTTTTCTCTTCTGGGCCTATATCTACCACAACGGGCTTACCATCCGGTCTTTTGGGTTTCAATCGGAAGAGTGATTTCAATCTTTTTCTCCTCTACCAGCGGAAGAATCGTTAGCAGCGAGCCCTTTCAAACGTATGGAAGAAAGAGCTCACCCAGTTCTTTGATGTTGTAGATGCCCTCTGCATGGGAGGAGGTACGTCTGTGACCCTTCTTGGTCTCCTTGTCGGGGGCTTTCTCATCCTTGGGGGATATCGTCAAGCCAGCGATGGCCGAGTCAACCTTGGTGAGCTCTTCAGACATGGCTGCGGGCAAGGTAACAGTGAGCTAATAGCTGAGGGTTGTACTAGTATTCCGAGTCTAGCATTAGTTGTGTGCATCGATGATGGATCATGGCCTGTTCTAGTGAAAGAGGCACATGGCCGGGATGGGTGATGACGTGGAATTACTACTTGCATGGGAGGAGTCGAGCTTACCAGTAAGTAAGCGGAGTGAAGGGATCCGAGCAGTGCTTGGAATTGAGAGTAGGATCTGGGATGCAGGGGATGAAAGGAGAAGATGATGACAGTAGAAGGAGGGAGAGAGAGAGGAAGAGAACGAGGAAGAGGAGAGAAGGAAGAGGAGGAGGAAGAAGAAGAAGAAGAAATAGAAGACGGGAGACGGAAAGAGCAGAGACAGAAAATAGAGGGAAAGGAAAGGGCAGGTGACTTGGGATGGGCCAACCCAGAACTGCGAACCTCCCCCTCGAGAAGGAAGGAGCGGTACACTACTGAAGTGGGAGGGTTACCTGACGTACAATACCCCCGGTCTGCCCTTCCTTACTTCATACAGTAAGGAATTGAGAAAGTAGCTCTCTCCATACAAGCTATACGGGGATACTTCAAGTCAGGTCACTTACTACTATTATTTATCCCACTACTGCAAAACTATGGGGATCATGATGAAGATGTGGTGCTCAATATTGAATAGGATCTGCCCCCGAAACCCACCATCCAGCATTGTACGTTCGCTTCTACAGGGGGGGGGAGGGAGGGGGGCAACACAACCGCTGAAGTGAAGGGTGGAATGATAAGTCCCGACTGGCAGAGGATAGATGATGTAGGGATCTCCGCACCGGGCGTTGGTTGCATCTTCATCCGGGCCATCACCTGATGGTGCTTTCAGCTTTACCTCCCCGGGGCATCCACCATTTCACTGTCGTTTTCTCCATCCTCGAAATGGATCGATTGATAGATAATAGTAGTCAATTGACAGACGACCTCTTTCATTATTGACGCTGCCGGCGCAACCGGATCACACGAGCAGGCCTGACGTCGAGAGCTCCGGGCGACGGTCCACTAAGGCTGCACCCCGCATTCCCGCCCGCTCCACTTGGTCTACTTTTTTGTGTACTTTATTTCCTGCCCGCCCGCGGCTTTCGGTCGGGCTCCCGGCTGGCCGATTCAACATCCAGACCTGCACGGTACTTGACCTACGTATGGATGACAAGTGTGACACCCCTTCGTCGACGCACAGCTACTGACGAGGAATCCATCATTCCATCTATCTACTTCGTCGATGAGGAGAGTACGAAGTAGATGAGATCTGAGCGACCAGACAGAAAACGGAAGTAGATGACCTCATGGCGCCCGTTTCCTTTCATTGTGCCAGACAATCGGCGGTTTCCTTTCCGTGGTACAGACCAAACTGTAACCATCCATTCATGTAAGGCAGGTCACAAACCGCAGCACGTGAGCTTCGAGGTTGCGATGGATTGAATGAAGGGATATATCCCTGGCCGGGACTGGACCAGCTCTATGTTTATAGCCCTCACGGTATGTGCCTGTCACGGCCCCGGAACTGGGCCAGTGGTATGGTACGATGTATTCCGTATCATACCTAGGTACATTCAATAGTGAGACCACCAGACACCCCCAGCAATCAGCGATCATATGGTGGTGGGCTGCAGGTAATTGGCCAGCTGTCGGCCTGGCTTGGGCGGGGTCTTACGAATCACGACTGGCGAAGGCTGCATTTCCATATTGCCTGCAACACTGCGGCCATCGGTCGTAGTGGGTGGCGACCAGTTGCAGTTCAGTCTCAACTCACCATTCGTAACGAATGTTCGGGTGGTTGATGCAGATAGTTGCGAGATGTCCAGCAAAGGCCAACTGAGACTGAGCAGTCTGCAAATCACTGGCTTTTCCAACCAGGTAGGTAGCTAGGGACATGGTGCCTATGGGACAACTATATATAGTAGTAGACGGATTTACCCCTGGAGAGGAGAATTTAAGTAGAGGAAGCAAGATGTGGGGGTGTGCGTAAATGAGCTGGACTAAAAGACGGTTATATATGAAGGAAGGAAGGGAGGATACTCATGGATCTACAGCAAACCCAGCAAGCAAACACCACGATGGATGCATGGAATGATGAATGCATGGGATGCATGGTCAATAACTACTTAACGTAAACCGCAATCGCGCGGCCCATACAATCGCGCGGCCCATCTAATAATGCCTTATAAAAGTTATCTTTTTGATCTTAAATATCTCAACCATTTTGAAATTATAGGACTTTATTTTGGAGTTTGCAGATTACGATAACATAAAATCTATCTTTAATTTTCTTTCCAGATTTTTATAACCACATATAATGGCTGGTAATATAATATACCTGTAATTTACTTGTAATTTAGGATAACTCCTGAATTAAATATGAATAAATATTTGGAAATTTTTTGAATACTTCTAAAGTACTGACCTTCTGATTATTAATCTCTACTTATCGTTGTAGACTCATATAAAGTGTAGTCATTGAGGTATCATAGTTTTTATAAAAGATGAATTTTGTATGACATTACAAGATGGGCCGCGCGATTGTGGTTTACGTTAACGTATTTCATAAGCGAGCGGCGCACCTCTCGCATTTTATACGCGACTAAAAATCTTGCTCAAATCAACCATTAACCATGCCTCCAAAAGCGCGTTGAAATTCAAGAAATTTAGCTGAGCAAGAGGGTAGAGCTGTACTAGC